AGCTTTTTAATAAATTGAGGAAAAAAGCTAATAAAAAGAATCTGCCTGGAGGTTTGCTAACACATACTCTTGGAACAGAGAGGCAAGGAGAAGGCACCAAGAAAAATAATAACAGCAATGGTGAAGAGGAATCTGAGGAAGGACAGGATGGAAGGGAACCACAGAATCTGGGAACAGTTGAAGCTGGAGAGGAACTCTGGAGATCATCTCGTGCATCACTCTACTCAAAGCACAGTTAATTACAGCAGATTGTTCAGGACTGTGCCCAGTCCTCCTCCGAGAATCTCCAAGGATGGACACTCCACCACCTCTCTGGACAACCTCTGCCAGTGGTCAGTCACCATCACACTGGATAAGTTTTTCCCTATGTTTAAACGGAATTTTCTGTATTTCACTTTACACCCATCATCTCTTGTGCTTTCGCAGGGAAACACTAGGCAGACTGTCTCTTTTTCAACCTGAACAGGGAAGAGTATGGCCATCCCAGAGGCAAACATCTGACCATAAGGATTTTTCATTCCCTTTTCTGCTCTCCTCCAACTGTTCAATATTACCATGATTTTTCCTGTGAGACTCAGCAGATAAAAATACAAACACAAGAAATTCCTCAGATAGTAAGGACTCTTAAAATACCAGATTATAACAGTAATAGCCTCATTCACTCGGATATATCTCCTAAGGAGACTATGTAAGGAAAGGTGGTACTTCTTAAAAATCAACATTTTATGACCTTTTTAGGAGCACTGGAAGTTTCCAGGGACAGCAGCCTTAGGCTGTGTCCCCAGAGATTAGGACAAGAAAGCAGTGGTATGATACCTGTGATTTGTATCAAGTTTCCCAAGACTTAGCAGAAAGTAGATTTCTCCAAAAGTGTTGAAGTATGAGAACCCACCTTCATCACTGGCCCTCCCTTTGATCCAACACTTACATAGCCTTCCTGCCAAGAACTGCTGCAGAACATCTCAGTTTCTTTCTGCAAGTTCAACTGGAGTTGCTGCTTTTATCTGCATAGCATTGCCACAGACAAGAACTAAAGGTCACAGAGCAATTTACACTGTTATAAAGTTAGAGAGATCAGTAGCTAAGGTACCTGAAGAAAATGCCCAAGTAAACATTGCTGAGATAAATTATCAGTAACTTATAACAATATAAGTTTATAAGAATAAACTCAGCTACAGGCTGAGTTTATCTAGGAGAAGCAAGTGCAGGTGTAAATACCCATTACATGCTATGGAGTAAGAGAATGCACAAGCCCCCAACAAAGTAAAGATGAATTTTTCATAGAGAGGTGTAAAGAAAAATCTTGTTTGAGACACTAGTTCCCTGTTTATATTCTTTATTTAGAGAATGAAAGGTCTTAAAACTCATTTTTCTTCAGTCAGGCAGCACACTGAACTAGGGAGTTTTCCAGAATGGGAAATCAAACTTGGAGCCTCTCCTAAAATGCATTTGTGTCTCCTTCGAACTACACAATTGAATAAAAGCCCAAGGAAACAAAAGGCTAAAGGAAGGAAAAACCCTGAAATTATATTGTATAGAAGAAGAAGGTTCTCTGGAAAGCTTTTAAATGTTGCCCTTTGACTTCTTAACAACATAATTTTTCAAGTGTTCTAAAGAGCAATCGGTTTTCTATTGACTCCTCCAGAAAACAGTATTTTGGTTTTATTTGTTTTACTCTTATCATGTTATGTCAACATGACAGCCTGGCACCTGATGCTGACCTTAATGGATCCTTGATAGAGGACCAAACACTTCAACTTAAAATGCTGTCAATTGCTGCTTAAATGAAAACGAAAACAACAGATTTCAAAACCATGTATCTTTTAACTTACACAATATTTAATGGTGTTTCCTTTACCGATTCCTCCTGCTTTTCTGAGTAAGATAAACAATAGTTCTAAAGCTACAGATTTTGAAAAGACGCTTGCAGTTAAACACAGGGTTGTGCTTCTTCAGAACTAAAAGCAATGAAGATGTTTACTTAGAAACTATAAAGCAGCTATTACTGTAGAAAAGCATTTATATATAAAGTTAATATAATTTTTTACATTACTTAACACAGAATTTGTTCAGTCCCAAATTGTCACTGTATTGGCAGGAGGCACAAGCAGCTCTGATGAATACTGGAAGGTAGTAATAATGTGATTCTATCCAGCCAAGTTTGGTTTCATGTGAAAGGCTTTCCTTGAGCCATGTACACACTTCTTTCTACTGAAATAGAATGAGGCCTGAACAATGGCAAATTATATATCATGTATTTGTTTCAGTTGGGAGTCTTGCAACTTTCTCTGAAAAGATAGGATGATAGACTAGATGGCCAATAGGGCTTACTCAGAGTGGCAATTTCTCTGTCCTTATACTCTTCAAAGTATTATAGAAATTACTCATAATTTACATTTTATTTTATGACAAGATTTAGATTGGTTTATGAAAAATCTCTGGAATCTTTATCTCAGCATTAAAACAATTTACAGGCTAGGCTACTTTACGCAGTTCTGATATGAATCAACACCATGGAAGCAAATTATGATCAGAAACATTACAGCCTTTCTTTCAAGTAGGTAAATTTGTGCCCTTATAATTTAAGACAATATTTGCATCAACTGCAAATCTTCTGATGCCTAATAACCTTGAAAAAAGGCACACTGTACAAATTAAGGGTTTCTCTCCACCCTTAATTTGAATGGAGATCCTTATCTAACATTTCATGCCAGCACATTGTGAACAATTGCAGGACGTTTATACAGAAGCAGACTCCAAGTTTCTCATTGCTATTGCATATCCAGTCCTAGAATACCAAGTTCTCTGTTCACAAATAAAGAACAATACCAGAACAAGTTCCCTTATACTTCCAAAGTGCCCTGCCAGCATGTTTCAAATAGGTTAGGGAAAGCTATTGCTCTTACAGGCTCTGGAAATAGACTACACTCGTGGATTAGTCAACATTTAGCCAAGACAGACAATTGATACAGGCAAGTTTGGAATGTGCAAGCTAAACTGGAGATGCACAAAGCTCAACATGCACTGTGATAGCCCACAGTCATAAACCAGAAATTATTTCAGCCCTTACTGCATTACTCTTAACTCAAACTGATGACTACCATCTGACTTCTACACCTCCCTGACAATTCTCAATAGCCCCTAGTCCCTCAAGGTATTATCACAATTACCATGGAGAAAGTGGACTGCTTTAAGCAAGGTACATTTCCTAAATGAGATTCTGATCTGTCGGGATTTCATACAGGAGAGCTGTCCTCTCTAAATAACCAAACAGGATTCCTCCCATCCATACTTTTCTTAATCAACTTCAAACAAGCTCTCCAGTTAAAGCAGGTAACATAGCCATGAGGAAGTCAGCTGGATTCTCTTCCACTCAGCCCATCGCTGGAGAGCTGTCACCAAATTAGACTCGTGTAGGTGAACCTTTAAAATCCCAGCAGGCAAACTCGACCACGGTATAACTGATAACCCATGAATAAGATGATAAAGGTAGCCATAGGCAAAATGTACACCTGATTGCTTTAAGTTTTCGCCTGAGATTTGTATATATCCACATGCACAGATATCATACCCACATGATGCATGCACAGAAACAAAAGACCATAAAGTGAAAAACTGACAGAAAGAGGAATAAAATTTTATTATTCTCCTGAATACCAATGTTTTCCATCAAATCACTAAAAAAAAAAAAAAAAACAAAACAAACAAACAGTGGTGTCAAAGTTTATATTCTTTTAAACAAACCTGTATAAAGTATAGTTCGCTATTAACACTGTGACAAAATGGTAACTATCGTATGCAGAACCACTGAAGTACAAGAAAATGAAACAAAATCCACTGAAGTCAAGAGGAGATACATGTTCCACAAACTCCTCTTTCCAAACAGCAGAATTTCAGCATGAAAGAATTTCGCTAATAATCTATTGATTCTTTATAATCAATAATTGTACTGACAAAAGGTAAAGAACTTCAAAAAATACATAGCATGTTAAATGTCTGTGCTATCATTTCTCTTTAGCACTCCTTTGATTTTGCCCCTTATCCTACAGAGAGTTCCCAGATAAGAAAGCTATTATTGTCTCCTGTCTGTTTTCCACTACAGGTTTTTCTTACGTTAATAGACAGTGATAATTATCAATTTATAATGAGAGATTGCAACTAAATCTAGACTAGGATTTACTCCACAAGAGTAAAAACACCCCATGACTTTCAAAAAATAAAACGCAACCAAATGTTAGCAGTTGTCTCACACAGCCAGGCCAACTTCCAACATCGCATAAAATCAAACAGCAGGAAACTGGGGGAAGGAGGGAGGAGAAGAGGAGGACGAGGGGCAATTAAGGAATTATTATCAGTAACAACTGTATCTTATGGACTACCAAGCAACAATAGTAAACAAACATCATGTTTGGGTCACATAAGTCTATTGTCATTTTCTTCCTTTCCTCCCCCCCCCCTTTTATTTTTACATTTTAATTTCAAAGGATTTCTTATTAACCTATATAAGTTTTTATTTATAACATATTTATCACAACTGGGTTGCAGACTGCTCTATATATGAGTTCACAGAGGACATAACAGATCCATAAACTGATTATTTGGTCAGTTCTCTGTTGACAAATATTAAAGGCTTCTAATGTTTGCTAATGTTTGCTACTTTATGATTAAGTTTGAAGCAAGCTAACAATGACAGTTTGTCTAAGGGAAATGAACCCTCTGGGTTGAGCTATAACATTTCAAACATTAAAAAATACTTAGATACTTTGTATACGGTTGAAAATGCAGGATTTTGGTTATGTCAATGGACTTACAATAGTATGGTAACTAGTGTAAATGAAATAAAAGCAAGTTTGCAGTGTTATACCAACTTATGCGTATTTTAACAAATTAGAGTGCTACTATATATCAGTAGGAAGAAATACTAATTCTATTTCAAAAAAATTATAGAGAAGTGGACTGACAGTCTAATATTAGTAAGACAAAAGAATTATTTGATTTACCTGACTTTGCAATTCGCTTTGTTGCTTCAGACGAAGATTTTCTGGTGTATCGGCCACTGTAGTGAAGGATTGCTTTGGGTAATGTCTAGAAGAAGAAGCACAAAGCCGAATGGTAAATATTTACACATGCTAGAAAGTCAGATGCATCCCAGCACTCT